ATTAAACCTACAATTACTTTCACGTGTTTTTATAACATATTATCAAAATTATTAAAAAAAGGAACAAAAATAGTTTAATACTATTATATAAATTTTTTTTTTTTGTAGTTAGAATTAAAATTCTTCTTAAGCAAATTGTTAGTTTTTCATCTTTAGTTTAGTTTTTTCAGGAGTTGCAAAATTTGCCTACTCAAGTGCTAACTGTCTAGAGCTACATATTTGGTTATTTGAGTTAATTTATTTAAACCAGAAATCATAACTATACTATGGTTTTGGTTTTGAGTTTTTAATTTTGGTTTCTAAAAATTTTGCAACCATTGAAAATAAAAAATTTAGAAATCGTAAAATCAAACTAAGAATTTCTATAAATTGAATAAATTTAGAGTTTTGGATATTCATTTTTAAATTCTATACCCACTGAGTTGACAATTTTAATTTTTAATTTTAGTTTTAAATTTTTAATTTTGATTGTTTGAATTTTGAAAACCAATTTTAAAAACCATAATTGTACTTAACATACCTAAATAACCTACTCTCTCTCTCTCTTTTTTTTTTTTGGATGAAACCAAATTTTTTATTTTATTTATTATATAAATGATGGTGAATTTTTAAACTGTCTATAATACCACCTTTCATTTCTTTCTTTTTTATTTAACTATTTTTTTTATGGCTAGCGATTCAAACTAATTGATACAATTTGTTTGTTACCATTCTAAAAAATAATAATGCAACTATTTTATAATAGGCCACATAAATGTCATGTAATTAAAATCAAAAGTTAATTTTTAATTATAGGTCATACAAAATCGCCACATCATTAAAGCAAATAAGTTTAGGAAGCATTTCAAGGTAATTGAAACCTTTAAGGTTATTACAAGATAAAATAGAAAGGCTAGGGATCATGCATTTTAGATATTTAACCAATTAGAATAATTAACCACATTAATGACTAATTTAACAAATAATAATTTTTGTCCAATTTGGACCTTATTTCATAACCTTATTTGAGCGTAATGAATTTTGGGATCTCAATTGTGAATTTAGTGAAAGTACGGACCTTATTCAATGTTTAGCCAAATTTTAAAATATGCAGTTTTGGCTAATTCTGAATACCAACACAAATTAAATCAAAAATTTTCAGCTAATTCTGAATAATAAAAGTGACGATATGCTCCCAAAAAAATGTGTTTGACAACACAACAAGTATGATCAACTGAACTTTTCAATTATTAACAACTCTAAATGGATATTTAGTCAATAATCACTTAGTGTTAACAACGTTAGACCTAACTGTTTTTGTCTAATTGTGACTTTATTTAAGAATTTCAATTACTTTGGTGCTATATTTGAGAAAAATAGAATTTTGAGACAATTATGAATTTAGTGAGAGTTTGGAACCTTGTTCATTACTCAAACCATTAGCATATTTATTTAATTGGATGAACATATCAGCCGCCAAACAAGGAGGCAAAAGGAATCAAATTAGTATTTCAACTAGCTTATTCATTTACATACTATATACAGTTGTTTGTTTCCCATTTCCTTTGGTAATGTATGGTTTTATACCTCCTATATATGGTTGGAATTTGTAAGTTACTTTAATGAGAAGGAATTGGTAATTTAGTTTAACTTTTTTTTATTAATTATTTATGCTTTCTAATTTTCTGTTGACGAACACTAGAAAAAGAATATATTTATTCACATTATTTATTATGTTTCAGGACCTTTTTTAATGGCGGACATAGTAGGGGCAATCTTTGGTGCATTGAGTTGCATTTGTGGTACTCCAACCTGCAACTGTATAGATCAACATAGAAAGTTCAATGATGATGTGGATGAGCTGAGAAGAAAATTGGACAGTCTAACTAGCCAAAAACAAGAGATAGAATCAAGAATACAAGAAGCAGAGGCTCGCGGGGAACAAATGGTTAGACAACAAGTGCAAGAATGGCTTAAGCAAGCAGAAGAGATGAATGTTAAATTGCGAGCATTTTTGGAAAAGGTGCAGGGAGTCAAGTGGTACAAGCGTGCTTGTCTTGACAGACTTGTTTGTAGAAAAATTAATATGGTGAAGGAAATGCTTGATAAAGGTAGTTTTCCAGAAGGCCTTGTTATTGATAGGGTTCCAGCTCATGGAAACATAATTCCAACAGAGAATTTAGTGGGGGAAATTTCTACCAAAGAAGAAATTTGGAGGTACTTGATGGGTGATGAGGTTGGAATGATCGGAGTTTGTGGGATTGGTGGAGTTGGAAAGACTACAATTATGGAGAATCTCCACAATGATTTACAAAAGGAGACTAGATTTCAGAAAGTGATCTGGGTTACTGTATCACATCCTCTCAATGTTTTTAAATTACAAAAGAAGATTGCTGATGCTATGGGCAAAAGACTTCGAGACAATGAAGAGGTGAAGATGCGAGCAGCAGCATTAATGGAAATAATGACAAGAATGAGGTATGTGGTAATATTAGATGATGTATGGCAAAAGTTCTCTCTTAAGGAAGTTGGAATTCCGGATTCGAATGTGCAGAATGGGTGCAAAGTAGTTGTCACTAGTAGATCAATTGAAGTATGCAGTTATTTGCATTGTAAGATTGTTAAAGTGAAACCTCTTTCACAGAAGGAGTCTCTAAAGTTATTCCTCGATACGGTTGGGGATGGTGTTTTGCAAGTTCCAAGGTTGGAGGAAGTCTTAAAGCTTATTGTGGAAGAGTGTGCCGACTTACCACTGGCCATTGTTGTGATAGCTGGGAGCATGAGGGGAGTTGATGATGTTAATGTGTGGAGAAATGCATAGACTGAATTACAAGTTCGTGTAAGTAGTGTGAAAGATTCAAATGATGAGATATTTAAGCGGTTAAGATTTAGTTTTGATCGGTTGGATAGTTTGCAAGTCAAGAGTTGTTTTCTTTATTGCTCCCTCTTTCGGGAGGATTATGTGTTTTCTAGAAGCGAGTTTATAGAATGTTGGATTGATGAAGGACTAATTGATGGGTTGCCAAGTAGAGAAGCAACTTGTAATAGGGGCCATGCTATTATAGATAGGCTTGAAAAGAATTTCTTATTAGAGAAAGAAACTTTTTTGTCATCTAGAATTGCATTTGGACGTTTATTTGGTAGTGCTGGTGCTAAGATGCATGATGTAGTGAGAGACATGGCTATCATAGGCATTGGTCCTGAATTTGGATATATGATAAAAGCTGGTATGAATTTGGTAGAGCTACCAGATGAGCATGGTTGGGTAAAAGATCCTAAGAAGTTGTCTCTAATGGAAAATAACATTTTAAAAGTTCCTTCTAGTCTGTCCCCAAAGTTTTTGAGCCTTTCGACTTTGATACTATCCAATAATCATAATTTTTCAAAGATTCCAGAATCTTTTTTTGGAGAGATGCTTGCTTTGAAGGTTCTTGATCTCTCTAACACTACTATTGAGACTCTACCTAATTCCATCTCTAAATTGGAGAATATATCTGCCCTGCGGTTACAGCATTGCAGGAAGTTAAAGTACTTGCCTTCCTTGGCAAACCTCAGGGGATTGAAGAAGTTGGACCTACACGAGGTAGGGATTGAGGTGGTCCCTCAAGGCATGGGGATGTTGATAAGTCTTGAATATCTTGATTTGTTATTTTGTCAAAATCTGAAAGAGATTCCAACAAGAATATTATCTAACCTTTCTAATCTCCAGTACTTGGCAGTATGTTGTTTGCGAGAAACTACAATAATAGGAAATTTAGAAGAGGTTGCTAGATTGAAGAAGTTGGAGACTTTAGAATGTCAATTTGATGGCATACAAGACTTTAATCACTTTGTCAACAAGTTCAAAGATTTCCTAAGTGCTATTGCTTACAGTCTTGGAGTTGGGACAACAAGAGACATGGTGAGATGGAGCAAATATGAGCTTGTAATTACTAAATGCGAGATCGGGGAAGAATGTGTAGTGCTTCCAAATAACCTTGAGGATTTATGGATATTTAGCGGTAAAAACATGAGAAGCATCTTAAAAAAAACAGCTTTGTTAATAAATGCAAATGAGTTGAGACCGTGTCGTATTTGGGAGAGTGAAGAGATAGAGTGCGTGGTTGAGTTGGACTCATCCTCCTTCTCCTCATTGTGTTGTTCAGCACTTGATAAGCTTGAACTACTAGAGCTTCAGGTATTGCCTAAGTTATGTGAACTTGTAAGAGTGGAAGGAGCAACAACACCACCACACATCTTTTCCAATCTTAAAACACTTATAATAGTACACTGTCTAGGAATGAGGAAGTTGCTTCCACTGGAGCTGCTACTGGCCTTCCGAAACTTAGAGGAGATTAGAGTTATCCATTGCGAACAAATGGAGGAGATAATAGCATCATCAGATTCAAATGCATCATCGGATAAATTCACTTTTCCCAAGTTAAGGATATTGCGGTTGATTGGTTTATCGTAATTGAAGAGCATTTGCAGTGCCAAAGGAGTTGTGGTTTGTGATTCTATTGAAGTAATTGTAATATTGGCATGTCGAGAGTTAAGGATCCTTGCGCAACTTCCCTTGCTTGATAATGGCCAACTATCTCCTCCTCCTCATCTCAAAGAAATCAAGATAGATGAAGAGTCAAAAGAATGGTGGGAATTAGTGGAGTGGGATCATCCCAATGCCAAGAACCTCCTTAAACCTTTCTTGAAATATTCTGACTGGTGGGATTGAGGGTAAGGTGTTGATTGATTTACTACTATTTAATTCTAATTTTGATTTGATTTGATAATATATTACAGTAAGTTGCTGAAATTTTGGGAAATAATTAGTGCAGTGTGAAATGAAGAGCTGCAAACTGCAAATGCAAAGGGAGTTGTTGAGTAGACAAATCGTAACTTTCCAGAAATTAAAGTCACATGTCACCTCAATAACACGTGCCAATAAAAGCCTTCTCCACAATTCCTTCATTCCTCTCCCAACGAGAACAATTAGGTATTCTAAAAGACAAAGAGACGGATGCGTATGAGATGGCAACCCTAAGCGGGTATATTCTGGAAGACGAAGATATGCAGCCTTTACTCCTCACAAACTCCAACCAGTAAGTGTTTAGATTTCATTATCTCTATTTTGATTTGATTGTAACTTTTTTTAGTTTTTGTGTTTAGATTCATATTCCATTTTTCTCATCTAACAAGATAAAAAATTATGGGTGATAAGATTGTTTAATATATGTGGTTGGAGGAACATTAATATTATTTTTTCTATTCGATTTTTTTATATATTTTTATTCAACTTTAT